AACAGGATCAGCGAGGGAAAATGACACAGGCAGGGTCTGGAGAAATCCATGTACTGGCTTCCTTATGCTCTCTCCCTCTGGTAAGTGGACATGGTGAGTTTCTCCAGCAGTGAAAAATGCAATAACATGTGTGCAATGTTTCGACACTAAAGCCTCTGGTGCCCAAGGTTTTTAAGGGGTTTGGTCACGTAGTACATTCTGCCTAGCAGCTATGAAAATTCCAGGCTCCCAGAAGGAAAGCAAGTTGCTCAGCATGAAACACACTGTCAAGGTACAGTGAACTACACCTAAACTACAGTACTTGAGTACCAAGTTCCCAGATGCCAGCAAAGGGCCAACCTTGTAAGCAGGCCTTTCTAAATATAGCAGTCTCAGTGCTACTATGTTAAATCTTTCTGCACAGCCTCTTAGTTGTACTGCCTGCTGGGCACAGCTCACTGACCCATCTGTTAGTCTATCAAGGGGAGCTTTGAGCACGTACCATGCAGGCTGTACCCAAGGAGCCCAGAGGCTGCTGCTTTTGCTGCAAGGGAGTAGCATGGGGCTAATCAGGCAGGGGGAGCCACCTCCTCCTGCTCCAATTCCACAGGCACCACTCCCTGCCCTCCCCCTGGAAAACACAAATGGGGATATCTTAATGGAGGATACCCAAATTCCCCCCCAAACTGGAGACTCTCAGCCCCACAATATACACACCTGCCTTGGTGTGAATGCCAGAGAGGGAAAGGCCCTGACTGGAGCCACACAGCAGCCAGAGGCTCCCCTCTATCAGCAGCACCCAGCTACAATGCCCCCTGAGCGCTACGTACCCCTGCCAGTTACCTCACTCTGGACCATTTGGCACAACCTTCCTCCCTTTTTCTCATCACACTTTGGCCTTTGTCAGCCATCTTGAAGGAAGAGGAGAGAAGGGGAGGGGAAGGGGGAGATCAGGTCCCCACCCAGTAGCCCAAGGTTTGGATGACCCAACAGCTCAGCAACTTTGGATATGCCTCATGGTTAGCATACTATTCTTTTAAGGCAGAGACTTCAACAACCCCTACTACTTCCATATCTCTCCAAGCCTTCAAGGAAGGGGTAGGTAACACCATGGCTGTAATGACACAGTGCCTGGGCTTCTATTCTCAAACTCCGTGCAGGGCATGCAATGCCCAGCTTCTGACTCCACTGGTCTAGGTTCCAGCTGTAGTCAGTTCCCTGTGTTCCCAGGAGTTGCCACAATACTGAGTTTTGAACTGAGTCCCATCAGTTAGGAAGAGCCCCAGGCCCTACACTGACTTCTGGAAAGCTGTCTATCTTTCATTTTGGTATCTGTATGACACATGACCCTATCAGAAATTTGCATATCTGTCTCCCCACAAGCCTGAGTCAAAGACCTCCAGCAATTTGCCCCAGAGAAAGGCAAGCAGTGTTAGGGAATATGCCGGTTACAGATGCTGAAGCGCTGCAGACAAGGATCCTCGACTAGAGTCTCAGTCTGCTGCTGACTACTGCCCCCTTGTGACCACTCAAGTTTCTCCAGCTCCAGGAAACCCCTAAAGCATAACTCCAATGCCACAGGCAGAGGTGTAACTCCCTCTTCTGTCCAATCTCTTCTCAGTCATACCACACTACATGTTTATATGTTTATCCATCTATCTCCCTTCTAGATTGTGAGTTTATACAAGCAGCTGGAGATCATAATAGGATATGCAGGTAAATGAAGAGTCATACCATGCTTCTGGACAGGGTGAATTATACTGCACGTCAATCAATTCCTTCCAAATTAAATAAACTCAATGCAATGCTAATCAAGATAATTCTAAAATTACTTTGGGGGCCGGGGGTGGGAAGGGACAGACTGGGACTTCAAAATTTGTAGATACTGACAGGCATATGTAAAATAGATAAACAAGATTATACTGTATAGCACAGGGAAATATAGACAAGATCTTGTGATAGCTCATAGTAAAAAAAC